TCACAGCCGTTGCCATTGCCTCGGGTGTTTGTCTCTCCACCAAGGTTGACTTCTTGTGGCCCAAACTGGAGGAGCAACTAGGTCTTCTTAACGTTTGCCTATTTGGAATCATATGTTGTTTTTGGTTTTGTTTCTTTTTTTTCTTTTATGGAGCAATTGTTTGTGGTTGTTTGTGGAGAAGCTTCTTTTACAGAGGTTTTTTTTTTTTTTCTTCTCTCTTTTCTCCATTTTTCTTCTTCTCTCAAACCCAGATATGGGTTTTTCTCAGTCTGAATCATTCAAGATAAGTGTAACATACGTTAATTCAAGATAATCCACTATCAACAGAGGTTTTTGCTACTGGGTTTGTGTTAATTATTCCCAAGCTCTCATATTCAGACTCCCCAATTCTCACCAAAAAGTACCTTTACACACTCCCAAACAATTAATTCCAAATTTCAACAAGAAAGTAAACCCAGAATCTTAAATTAGAGGCAAAAAAGAGAATGGGCTGAATTATCGGTTGCTAAGCCGAGGTGGGGGCATCTCGAAGAGGCCATGAGCACCGGCAGCTGGTATGGCCAGGGGGAGTGGAGAGAAGGAGATGGCGAGTTTGGTGAGTAGGAGGTGATGGTGGTTTAACGAAGGAGGAGGAAAGGGAGGAGATATGGAGGCGTGTGTAATTATAGGCATTTTGGGTTGGCTACCATACTTTCTGGCTGATCGGAGAACCTAATCCTCGAAAGACTCAAGAACATGCTAAAACTATATGCCACGTGCACCCCTTCACACTCTCTCCTAAGTCGTAATTGAGAAAAACCCAGATCTGGGTTTGAGAGAGGAAGAAGAAAGGAGAAGAGAGAGAGAAAGAATAAGAAGAAGAAAAAAGAAGTATGATTTGATTTTGATTTTAATTTTGCAGAAGTGGTAGGTTTAGGGTTTTGAATTTGAAAAGGAAATGAAAAGAGAAACGAAGAAAATTGTGATTTATGGGGAACTTGATTGAAATTGGAAAAAGAGAAAACAAATTTCATGTGAGCGCCACTAAAAGGAGAAACTGAGAAGACAACAATTTGATGTGTAAAAAAATGCTATGGTGACAATATTTTCTTTGTTAGATATACACGTCATTAAAAGTTTAAAAAGTTAGTGATTTTGTGGCATCTGAATGTGGCATTTGAATGTGTCACCTGTGCACTTAACTGACATAAGGACTATTTTGGTATCAAAAATGAAAATTTAAAGATAATTTTGATATTTTTAAAGTTAAAAGATAATTTTAGTACCAAAATAAAAAGTTGAGGGACCAAAATGGTACTTTAACCGATTAATTAGCAGGGCTGCTCCCTTCACTCGATTTTCTCAATAAGTCATTTCTGCATATTTTAGTGTATGGGGCCCTACAATAAGGAACAGGTACGTCTCGGTTATAATTGCCTGTGAAAGAAACTTCATGTTCACGATAAACCTTACCTTCACATGAGTAAGCTTGAGAACGAAACCTACCATGAAAAGATTCATTAATATATATATATATATGTATGAAAAAAATAAATGTTGTTATTAAAAGATATATATTAATCTTGATCTCTTAGAATAAATTAGAATTTTAATTTTAAATTAAGTTGTTTAATTTTATTAAAATTTAATTCAAAATTTAAAAATTCATTTTATTAAATATTCATATTTGAATATGAAAATTGGTTATATTAAAATATATAATCAATTTTTAAATTTAAATATTAACATTTAAAATGGTAAATTTCTAAATTTTAAATTGAGATTTTGATTTTCAAACCTAAGTTGAGAGTAATGTTATTACCATACCCTCAATTACTAATGTTACATCTTTTTATGTTAATTATATATTATATCCTTTAATTTATTAAGAAACAAAAAATGTAAAATTTTTGAGAAAAAAATTTAATATAAAGGTTTAATAGGTAATTATGTTCAAAATGTGTGACATTAACTATTTAGTGTGTGGCAATAACCACACCCATAAGTTGAGACTCTAATTTGTTTTTGAAGTTGGGATTAAGGGACTGTTTGGTACCGCGGTTAAAATTCAGTGGATAGCGGATAGTGGGTAGCGGATAATGGATAGCAAATAGCGAATAGTGGATAGCAGTAGCGGATAGTGGATAGCGGTAACGGATAACAAATGGCGGTTAACGGATAGCGGATGACAGATAGCAGAAAGTGGGTAGCAGATGGTAAATAGCGGATTCGATAAATATAATTGTTTGGCTATACAATAGTTAGCGATTGTTATTTAACATTAAATGACTAATAAGGACATGTTTAAAAATAAATTAATGTATTTTTAAATATTTTTATTTATTATTAAAATTATTAATTTAATAAAAAAAATAAGAAAATAAATAAATAAAATTAATTATAATAATGTAATTACAACCTCATTTTTATTTTTAAAAAAGAAAAAAATATATTATTTTTAAATAAAAAATTAATCATTTTGTCAAAAAAAATATTATAATCACTTAATGTTATTAAAGATAAAAAACAAAATTGAAATTTATTACATAAATATTAATTTAAAAATGTGACCAAAAATTAAAAAATTAAAATGGATAAATTGATTAATAAAATTAAAAAATTATAATCCGCTAGCGGTTTGAACTCTAACTGCTATCTGCTAGTCTTAAACCGCTAAATGACAATTTTACCAAATACTTTATTTGTAGCGGTTTCGAAATATATAAGTTTACCAAACACCTATATTTAGCAGTTTAGGTAAAACCGCTAACCGTTATCTTAAAACCGCTAACCGCTACCTCAAAACCGTTAACCGCTATACCAAACGGGGCCTAATACACATTAGCCTCATATATATATAGAGAAATTGCATATCAATCTTGATTTTGAAAAAAAATTTAGAACATCTAACGTAAACGATATCATTTAATTTATTTAAAATTTAAATTGAAAATTCATAAATTTACCATATTAAATGTTAATAACTGTATTTGGAAAGTGATGATATGTTTTAATATAATCAATTTTCAAATTCATGTATTAATATTTAATAAAGTAGATTTTTAAATTTTAAATTGGATTTTAATTAAATGAAATGAGATTATTCAAAGTTGGAATTCTATTTTTGTTTTTTGAAATCAGGATTGATATGCGATATTCTTATATATTTTATAATTATATATAATACTGTTGTAATAATAAAATTCTCCTTAAAAAAATTCACAAATAAATACTCATTGGATTTTTAAAAAATATCAATTAATGTCCATTAAATTTTGAAAAAAATCCTCAATATATAACTTTAAAAATTTTCTCAATAAATACCCCATTAATTTTTTAAGAAATTATTAAATAAATAGTAGTTCAAATCTAATATAATTAAATACTACAATTCATTCTTAAAGGGACTTGATTTCTTATGAATTTATTCACGCTTTCTTATTATTGAATTTGACTTGAACTTTCTTTAATAATTAAAAAAAAAAAAGCTGATCACCACTAATTTCCTTGTCTCTTTTCTTAATATCAAATTACAATGTCGGTCCTCAATATTCAAGATTTTTGCACTTTAGTTCCTAGGTTTCAGATTGTTACAATTTGATCCTCAACTTCACTACATTTAACTTCATGAAATATTGTAATTTAGTTTTAAATTTGTGATTTTTAAAAGTTAAGTATTATCCTGCACAAATAATGAAAATAATATAAAGTCAAGTAAAAAAATCATATTAAACCCATTCAAAGTATTAATAGAATCAAGAGTAATTTGTATCATATTCTATATTTAAAAATTCAACCTATCAAGAACTATAAAAAAATTTAGTAAATTCTATATTGAAATTTTGTCAAATTTTTGTTAAGCAGTTAATACTAAATTTCTCCTATTGGAAAATAAAAAATAAAACAAAAAATAGAATCAAAAGAAGGATTATAATGGTGATAGTTAAAAATAATTTTTGAAAGAGTACAAGGGGTATGTTGACCCCTTGAGATGTAAAAGTGAGAAAGAACTAATCATATAATGTTAAGGAGTTGTATCACTTATATTTTGGCTTAAAACATTTCTAATATAAACAAACAAGAAATGTCTAATAAATAATGATAGATATTTGAGTATAATGAAAGAAAAAATAATATGTAAGATAGAGAAATAAACATAATAATATAAAATGTTAAGGGAAAAGTTGAGAGATAGAGTTTCAACTAAAATTAATGAGAGATGAAATAAATTGTTAAGGAAGAGTAATATAGAAGGAAGTATAAGGGAAATAAAATATTGATAACAAATAAATTATTAATATAAAGAGTAAAAATAAAGGTAAGTACAGAATAAATAGATAAATATAATGATAAATTTCGAGTGGTAAACTAAAAAGATAGTCTTATGAAAGGTAATGAAAGGTGAAGTGATGGCAAGTGAAAGTGCATTGAGATAATAATGATAGATAGAGATGTAAGAAATGTCTAAGAAATAATGATAAAAATGGGAGTATAATGAAAGAAATAATAACATACAGGACATAGAAATACCTATAATGATGTAAAATGTTAAGGAAAAACTAAGAGATAGAGCCTCACAAAAATTAATTAATAAGATAGAATAAGTTATTAAAAAAGAATAATATAAAAGAAAAGAGAAGAAAGATAAAATAATAATAAATAAATGAATTATTAATATTAATATAGTGAAATTATTAATAACTACTTAAATATTAATATGGAAATAGCGACGATCTTAATATAAGAAATTGAGAAAATATAGTATTTAAACATATAGAGACATGAGGTTAGGAGGAGGTGATAAGAAAAAAAAAGAATAATACCAAATAATTTATTAACATAAGGAGAAAGAATAGATAGAACTGTTTGACAAATTTTCATAATTTATTAATATAGTAACAAATTATAAATCATAATAATTAATACATCTTTTAGTTTAACATATTTATTAGGAAATCATTATTTTTAAATTTAAATTAAAAGTGGTAACACCTAAACTATTAAAATTTATAGTTTTAAGTTTTTTACTTTAAATTTAAATTTAAAAATAATAATTTATTAATAAGTATGAACAAGTATATTGAATTAAATGGTATACTAATTATTTTTTAATTATAAAAAATGTCTTTTAAAAAAAAGTAAATTAATTAAATTTGTATGCTGAAGTATTCTTTTATATCTATCATTCACATTTTTTAATAAATTGATATGTATAATTATTAATTATAAAAAATATTTTAAAGTATATGAATAATTAATTATTTTTATAAAAACTTGTAATTAATAAAAACAATTTACTAATTATAAATTTTATAAAATGCAGACACATCGCGCAAAGCTTGGACTGGGGTGTGGTGTATGTGTGTGTATACACACACACACACAATTCTTCCACGTTTCAGCAGCAGCAGCATATTATTCCATGAAGTTAAGGTTCAAAATATAATATGAAAGAAAGAGGCGTTTTCTGCTTCAAACAGAGCTATATTCTCTCTTCTTTATCCTTTTCTCTCCCTTCTCTCTCTTGCTTCTGCCTCGCTTTTTCGGCGTTGCGTTTTGTTTTGATTGGAAGCTTTTGAACTTCCGAGGCTTTGATGCTTGAGCCGTTGGGCTCCCTGATCGTTCAGGCATGCTGGAGCCAACTTGTGCTCCCTCCTTCGATGACCCTTCGGGGTCTGTCGGTTTCTAGGTCCTTTTTCCGGTGACCCCTTTTGGTTTTTTGTTTTTTGGTTGTTTTGTTTAGTTTTATGTTCTTGTACAGTTTGTTTTTTTCAGATCCGACAACCCTCGGCTCTTTCCTGTTGATCTTGGTAGGGGCTCGTTGGTTTTTTCCTTTTTTGTTTTGTTTGGTGTAGATCGACGGCCTTCTTTCTCCTTTGACGGATCTGAGGTGGCGCACGCGAGGGCTACCAGAGCTGACGCCCACCGCAGCTCTCCTGCTAGTTTCGAGGAACTTCCGCCGCCAGATCTGGTGACCGCCCGGCATCCTGGAGCCTGGTGCTATTTATTCAAGGGTAGATAGAAAGGTGTCTGGTATGGATCGGTCGACCGAAGGCCGTGGTTTATTCGGGGTAATTCGTGGTTGTTCGAGTGCTGAGTGCACCTCCCTTCAGCCTCTGGATATGGGTCTACTCTGATCTTTTGTTCCAGTTGTTGTTACTATTTGTTATCTTTGTAGATGCCGTATACCGGTAATTGTAATGAAACCATTCCATTATCCTCAAAAAAAAAAAAAAAAAAAAAAGAAAGAAGCGTTTTCTCAACAGGTGGTTTTATAAGAATAATTTTTTTATATAATTTTTTATATAATTTTTACATATTTTTAAATGAGTAAATGCATTTAATTTTATGAGTTTCACATAAATTAAAAAATTAATCATTTTAATATCATATCATATTATGCAAAAAAATAAGATAAAAAAATTATACAAAATTCATTTTCCTTTCCTTGACCCTGCCACTCAGCGGCTCAGTCAATTCCATTCCACTTAATCCCCATTTCACAGCCACATATCTTTCCAGCTAAGTAATGGGAAACCCTTCTCTTACATGATCATTTCATTTGGGAAAGGCCATCTTTTTCTCAACAATGCCATTTGATTCAATAACCCTCCGTTCGATAAGAACAGATTTGACAAATACTGATAACTCTCCCATACAGACTTAAAACGATGAGATCTATTAGATAAAGATAATGAACTATTGGTTCTAAGCCATCTCTGGCGATTGAAAACTCTGCCTAATCACTAATCAAAACAGTGACATTTGATCCGAATCTACATTGGAATAAACCTGACAGAAACAAAATTCACGACATAACAGCAGATTGGAGAGGAAAAATCAACTACCAGATGAAAGATTTTACAGATAATATTACAGCAATTGAAGGTACGGCTGAACTTATGACATGGTGAAAAATAGAAAGAAATAGAATCTCTCCACTGAATCAACAAGTTCTAATATCATTTTTTATTTTCTATCAACTACAATATGTTTTGATATAGATAGAACAGAAGACAACTGATGTAAGTGATACAGGCATTGACAAACCTTGATTTCTAAAATTACAGAATGGAGCAGTAACTGTAAGCACCTGGACCAACAACATACCAAACATCACATCTTTGACATATCTTCGGAGCAGGATAATTATAAAGCATGACATCTTTCCGATCATCCTTCTTTTCATCCTTCTTTTCATCCTTCTTTTCATCCTTGGGAGGCCCTACACTCACAATTGATGCAGACTTTTTGAATGTCCTGACCATCTCGATGATCCTCAAGGGATCAGCTTCACCAACAACAGTGACTGTGTTTTTTGATGGGTCAAGGACAATAGAAGTTATCCCTTCTATGGTTGATATTAACTTCATTACCTTCTGCCTGCACTTGCAGCACACCATCTCCACTGACAATATAGTTTTCTGCACCAGAAAAAAGAGGGTAAGATTCTATAGTACTTTCTCCGAGCTTAAAACAGACAAATCTGATTCAAAATTAGAGGAGCTCAGAAAGTACTGCCGGTTGTCTGTGCAGAGAACGAGTGGCAGAGAAGAATGATGAATCATCAATGTTAGATGCATAACAGGAAAATCCATCAAAGAAAACAATGCAACATAGAAAAGCAAACAAGTTTAGGAGACCTTTGGCTTTGACATGTCTTCAATACAGAACAGAGTAACTATAATTATATAAGACGAGGAGGACAGGCTTCTCAGAATAACTTATAAACTATTAGAATATCTCCCAAAACCCAAATGCAAAATTGTTTTCCCAAGGTAAAGGTCTTTGCGCTTTTGGATGAGAATTTGGTTTGAAACTAAATGGACTGACAGTGTTAGTTGGCGTCGAGTAAATGCATAAGGGTCTTCATTGGGTCTACTCTTGTACATTCGAAGTAGAATTTATAAATATTCCCACATTAGAGCTTGAATATGATTAAAAAGGAAAACGGAAATTATTAAGGAATAATCACTCGTGTGGCAATTACACGAGATGGACTAATTTACATCAAAGACACATAAAAATCGTAAAATACCCTTCACATGATCAACTAAACATGTATTAAAAAGTCAAATCATCTGAAGACCAATATAAATATCAATGGAGATTCAGTTAGATACCTGGCAAAGAAAAAAACATCTCCTGAATTAGGGAGTCAATATCTAGGACTGCAGATTACCAACCTTCAACAATGATCCTAGTGCTTTGCCTCCGGTATCTACATGTCTTGCAGGAGAAGGTTAACTTGAATACATACATCTGAAGGTAAATGATTGAACTATGAATGAAAGTTAAAAAGGCAAGAGTCAGATCAGGTTAACTTGGCACCCATACTAGCCCAAAAAGAAATTAAGGTTTCAACAGGTTTGGCATTTTCTCATCAATGACGTACATTACATGCTTCTAACTGAAGAGACCATTGAGCATGATAACCATGCACATAATATGGAGTGAAGTTTATCAATTAAGATAAGGTTTTTCCAAATTGTGCCATAAGAGTGCAATTATTATATCTTTTTTACATTAATTAACATTAAAAAATGTAGAAATTGATATTAATTTCACTATTATTGCTATGTGTTTTATTTTAATCTGGCAGTTGATGAAATAAAAGTTAATTTTTATTTTTTAATATTAATTAATATTAAAAATATACCAATAATTATACATTTAAAGGAACAAATTAAAAAATTCATTAAGATAAAGGTTTCTTGACTCCCTTAAAAGAGCAAGCAATTTTTCAGACCTAGAACTTTTTGGCATACCCAAGTGCTGGTGCAAGCACATTTGTTCCCTTGGTTGAGAAACGTTAAACTCAATAATTTTTCAGCCATCTTATTACTAGGCAGGAATACTCCTAGGTTATTTCATTCCAAAAGATAGAATGCTAAGTTCAATATCCAGCTGTATGAATTAACTTTTTGTACAATTTGGAGGTAGGGATGGGGGACATTTAATATGATAGTATTATGACTTGAATCTAAATTATTGTTAAAATATTAAGTATACCTAACAATTGTCTTATAAGACTTAATGTATCTATATGAATTAATGTGCCATGTGGGTCAAGAAAAAATCGCGGTGAAGTTGATACATCACTTTCTCAATTGGGCCCAACAAGTTTATGTTCTGTCACTAATCTTTCTCCCCCACTTCACCTCCTACTAGCATAAGTCAAGATAGAATGCTCGTCAGCTCCCTCTATGATGCTAAATGGAACCATTTTTTTTTTCCCGAGCTTATACTACACTCTGCGCATGAACAAGAGCTGAATATTGGAGCAACTTCAAGGAAACATTTCTAAGTTTAATGCCCCAAGAGGCGTTTGCAGGGCCATGAAAAGACTTTCACTACTAAATGACTCAGAGGGCGCAGAGAAGTGTTTTTTTATTAAATTGGAGATGGCAGGTGTTTTTTTATTACTTTAATTTTGGCAAATCATTACGTAAATATATTTTGATAAGTAATAAGACCATCCGCATAGTAACATACTTTAGACCCATGAACTTTGATTATCCAACAATCATTGGAATATTATTGAATTTTTCAGGTACCATAGAAAGAAAATGCTGCATATGGATAGTTTAACATAAAGGACACAGGCCTATATGCCCCAAAATGGGAAGAAAAGGGAAGATTCTAATTTCTAACCCAAAAGTTAAGCAGTGCCCATCAGCACTATTACAAACATTTCAGTTACAACAACACTTTTGGACAACATATGAAATTAAGCTTGCGCTTACCAGTACTCTCTTCAGCCAAAAAAATTGACCTTTGCAGCATGGACCTTATCTCAATATACTTCCATAATTGTTTCTCCTAAAAGCCTTATCGGCTCCATCCTCCATTTTCATCATTTGGGTGTAGAAACAAACTATTCTCTTGTCTAATTCATAATAGTACTCCATCTTATTCAAAGGTTTCAAATCCAAGTCGATAAAGCATGCCTAAAAAAATTGTAGCGTGTCAGGAAACATTAAGCTTATGGATGAATAGAATAAGAGATCTTAGCTGGAAGGAAAAGAACAATCATGATGCCATCACACATTGAAACTCAAACAATATGTGTAACATCCTGTTTATTTTTTATTCTTTTGGTAATTAAATTGAAAGAGGGTCGCACCTTGTAATCAAAAGATTGTTTGGTTGACTCAAAATGTATGTTATTGTACAAAGATCCAGCATCCTCTCCTTCCCTTGGTCTAAAACATAAGATGAGACTACAGTCCTTTGCAGTTGCAGCAATCAAAAAGTCCTTCACAATCTTTAAGCTTTCATCCAAAGGAATGGAGTGCAATGAGGTAAAGCAATCTGATACTTTATTTTCATTCAGTTCTCTACAAACCATGCAAGGTTGAGAAATTATGTTATAATATGCATGAATTGCCCCTTCAATATCCAAAGTATCAAGTTTCTGCACTTCAAGCAGGTGATTTAATACTCCAGAAGTATAAACTGCGTCAGCAACAAGTTGTATAAAACTCATAGCACGCAAACCATTGTCTGCCTGAATGACAGCCTTAAGTGCATCTTCAAAAGCCTCACTGGTGACAAAACTAGTGCTTCCTGCGCTACCACTGAGGCCCCCAAATATTAGAGAACCATTCAAGAATACCCGAAAATTATTCTGAGGGGTAGCATACAAAGCCTTGATAGCTTTGCATATCCTGTCTCTAGAATTAGAGAATAGATCCAATGGGTTATATCTACTTAATTCTGAAATCTGCAAATATTTTTGAACAATGTTATTGTCATCAAGAAACAAAAACTAGTCTAGAAACAACTTAGCTTCACGATAAATAGTAACAGGAAGAAACTATATGTTACCTCTTTTTGATGCAACTTCAATGCTTGATGCATTTCAAAACGAGTTACACATCTTTTTATCGCATTTCCTTCAGCAATGAATCTTGATGATGGAAGAAATCCACATTTGGGCTACTTTACAGAATAAACGTAATGTTAACACTTAACACAAGTAGAGGAAACTCGCAGAAGAGCAAACTAGACATCAAGAAATGAAATGAAATGATAGGTACGACAAACAGAAAGCACCTTTATCTCAACAGAAATGCATGCTCCACTTTTAAGAGTTCCTGACATGAAGAAAGTTCTGTCACATAAATCTCATGTCCATCATGCTATGTCAACAAACCCACTTCTGAAGTCATTTTTTATGATCTCTTCTAACTCAAGCCAAGATAAGGCAATTACCATTTGGGAAAAGTGAATGGTCAGAAATGAGGAGCACAGAATCACAATATGTGTCAACCTGAGCTGCATCAACTCGCCAAGCAGGACGCTTACAAATCACATTCTTTTCCACAGACTCTAGAAATTCCTTGGTCACACGGACACGCATCTGCAAACCCAACAAGAACCAACTCAAGACCAATCTTCAACTAGATGAGATGTACATAACTTCATAGAAACTACAATTGACCATTCAGTTATAACAAGCATGAGCAATAAAGTTGATAATAGCAGTATACTGAAGTTTCTGTTAAAAATAATAATGAGTGGAGTTAATTAGCATACCCCAGCATCCACATGTTTGGGACCAAGAAAAGGGCATATGACATGCTTGACATAAAGTTGCTCCAAATTTTCTCTGGTTGAGGAGGATGACATTAACTCTGTGATCTCTCCCCATACAAGCTGTTCATGTGCAGTGAATTGTCCATTACCATTAACTCTACGTTTCCCATTCCTTGGCGCTTTTTGAATGCGAATCACTTTGCCAATCTTAATTGTAAACAAAAAATAATAATAATAAATAATAAATAATAAAAAAAAAATCTAAGACTAGAACATAACAAGCAAGCAAATATGGAAAGGAAATCGATTTCTAGATTATAAAAATTTTTACTTTCTTCAACTTTTTTTTCCCTAAAATGCAATTACTTAAGAATTATTATTAAATAAATTCATTCTGTTCACAGAACTCCACTATCAAATGGAGTTCGACTTTTTGGTTTCTCTAAAAACAGATGTAAAAGGTTTTTTGTCATAAATATATGTTGAATTAAGAAAAGTTCACAATTTTATTTATGAATTAACAGTCTTCGTTAAAGGTGATAATGACATTAAAATCAATATTAATTTTTACATATTTTTAAATGAATTTATGACCCAAAAAAAAAAAAGTACTTGACCTGTACTGTACCGACCACAGTTTAGAAAGACTTCTGTTTAAGGAAATCACTATTTTGAGTCTGCAGAATCACCGATCAAGTTAAAAAGAACTCGGAAAGGAAGAAAAGAAAACACGTACAAAAGCGGGATGGGATCCGGTGTAAGCGAGAACAAGATTAGCAGCTCCTTCACCTCTGTACACCCAATCAGCTGCGTCTATCTGCTCCAAAATCACCTCCTCCATCTGTATTCCATTAAGATTCATTCTCCAAAATCAACATCGATAATACTAACAGTTTAAAGCCCAAAAAAAAAAAAAAGCAATTGAAATGTACGCCTCACCCCACCTGACCTCACCTGGAGAATCTATGAGCAACGCGAATTACTGATGGTATATAGGGTTTTGGAAAATCACGGAGAATCGTAGAATCGTAGAAAGCAATCGGAATTGATGTAAAGAAAAAGGTGAAAAGATATGCTCGAATTCGGATTCGACGATTTAGATTTCAGGAGGAAGAATCAACGAGCTTTAAGCATTTTTTGGATGCGGAAATTTGAGGAAGAGGAAAGAAGAAGAGATAATAATAATAATAGTAATTAAAAAAGAGGAAACTGAATGGAGATGGAGAGTGAGTTTGTGTTTTACTTCGGGGCAAAAGGAAAGGAATCGTGTCAGTTCAGCTTTGCTTCAGGTTGACTACAAAACAGATCAAATTCGGCTGCGATTTGGCACTGTTGGGATGCGGTTTCTCCTAAGTGTGTTCCTCCTAATTCTCTGATTGTACCTTTCAGGGATATGTGGATGAATAGTAGAAATCTTGAAAACAGGAATCGGAAATGTACAAGTACACAATAGCTTACAATAGGCTAATGGGCAGAGAATTTAATCAAGGCGGGTAGGCAGAATATATATATATATATATTTATCTTAATTGCATAATTAAAACAACCATCTCTTTTCGAGTCAAGTGGTTCTAGTTACGATTGTAAGGTTCATACTTTTTTCTTATAAGATAACGATTTGAGCCGTACCCATAATAAAAATGTTCAAAAAAAAAAAAAATCATCTCTTTTCGTCTCAACGGCTAGACAAAATAATTAGTTAAATTATTAGTATAAAGATATTGTTTTATTTATATGATTAGCGTTTAAGCTGGGCCAAATCACTTATTTGCCTTTTGGGTATTTTTTTCTTTTATGGCTAATATTGTAAATTAATTTTTCTAAATCAATATTTTTTATAATTTAAAATTTATAAAATTTTTAAATTATCAATAAAATTAGGATACAAATAAGAAGTTTGACAGTTAATTTTTAAATATTTTGTGAATTTTAAATTATAAAAAGTATTAACAAAAAAAAAATTATCTTAAAGTGTTGAACATGAAAAAAAAAAAAAGTTTAAGTGCAAATAACGGGAACGAGCCTTCAAACTTTTATTCTTTCTTTTCATCCTTATAAAGACTTCCATCAACTGATCTGTTCTTTAAAAAGAAAAAATTGATCGTGAAAATATAAGCATTGACCTAAATTTAACTCACAATAAAATAAAATAAAGTAGTCTACACTATGTCTCTTTATTATTTTTTGAGTTTTTTTTTATTTTATATTTTAAAAGTATAAGTTAAAATTATAATAAATGTATCTTTTTATAATAATAATTTTTTATTAAAAATATAAATATTTGTTTTGGTTTAATCAATTAACTAGTAAAGTCATTCATGTGTAAATTACTAAATTATATTAAAATATATGTTAATTTTTTATAACATTTTATGTGAATTAATTTTAAAAAATACAATTATTACATTCTTAATTTGTGCACTTAAAGCACAAGTTATTCAAATCTTTATTTCTTTAATATGAGCTCTTCTTAATATGCTTTTCTCAGTGTAAACTTCAAAATTTGAAATGACTTAGTAATTCTTCCTCGTCATGTTCAAATTTGACATTCCATATAAATTTTGAACTAACGATGCCGGCTTAACAAATATTTTCACGAAGTAATAAATAATAAAACAAAATATTAAGTTTGCAAGCTCTACGACAGGGTTCTTACTTGTTTCTCAAACTGATGGGAAATTGTCGTTGATGCTATTGTGTAATCTTCGACTAAGACTGAAGAGAGGAAGACTCAGCTATGCTCATTGGGAGAATGTTTTGATGAGAGAAATGATACTGAGGGATTGATTTTTGAAGGCAAGTTATGGTGCTGAGACCAAAGCAATGAACATTGCTTCCCTTCAAATACTTGCAAGTCTCAACTGGGAATAATTGCTTTTACAGGCCAAATTGTGTACATGTTGGATTTTTTTAAATAGAGAATATATATATATATATATATTTTATGTTCCATTACAAGTTCAAACACAAAAGATATTCTTTT